CACCGATGGAGCCCACATTGCAGGTGACTGACGACGAGATAGTGACGGCTCAGCAGTGCAGCAAGCTGGTACAGAAGCTGATACAAGACGGCGAGTATCACGGTATGAAGGTGAAACGTATGCACGGACTGGTGACAATCGATACTGCGTATGGGAGGCGCGTGATACTGCCACCGTCGCTGTGGGCAATAGTCTTAAAGGAGATGCACGGGTCTGTCTGGGCAGGACATCTGAGAGGACCGCACACATACGGACGGGTGTCGCAATTGTACTGGTGGCCTCAGCTACTTCGAGAAGTGAATAAATGGGTGAGAGGCTGTCAAGAATGTGGGAGCCGGAAAGCGCGGCCCCGGGAAGTGATTCCGCCGCTCAGGAGCATCCGTGGTGGAGATGTCGGGGATCGCTGGGCATTGGACGTAGCGGGACCGTTTCCAGTTGCCGACGGAGAGGAGCGTTATGTTGTGGCGGCACTCGAATACGTAACGAGATACGAGGTAGCAAAGTGCGTGACGCAGCACACGGCCGAAAGTGTAGCGTCATTCCTGATGGAGGAGATTGTTCTCAAATTTGGAGCGTTACGCGAACTGTTGACCGACGGTGCCCCGGAGATGACTGGCAAGATCATCGAGCAGTTGGTTATGATGTTACAAGCACGACAGGTCAATCCCGTGCCCTATCATATGCAATAAATCGGCCTGGTTGAACGTTTCACCGTTCGTGGAAGGACTGTGTTGCCACATTTATGGCGAATGACGAGCAGAATGACTGGAACTTATGGGTTAATTCCCGTGTACGCGTACAATTCAGCGCGTCATTCAACTGTAGCACTGACACCGAACGAGTTAATGATGGGAAGACGGCTGCGAACGCCTAATGAGCTACTAAGACGAACAGCGGTAACGGAAGCAGGAGCACTGCTATTATATCACGAGCAGTTGATACAGGCGATGGAACGGAGCCACGAGTACGCTGAGAACGCTCGACGAAAGGAGCAAACCCGGCAGGCGCGCTATTATGACCGAAATGTTCGGCAAAAGCGAATGTTCGGCGTTGGCGACCGAGTGTGGGTCTACAGCCCGCCACGAGGCCCCAAAGCACTAAATTTGTACACCCGTGGATGGGTCCCGTGAAGATTGTGGAGGACGCGGGTGATGAGAACTTTGTACTCCAAAGAGAAGATAAGAATGGTACGCCAGAGACGTTGATTGCCCATGTGTCATTTCTGGCTAGCTATTCATATCCTGCTTCACTACGGGAGCAATTGGCCAAGGATTTAAACGCACAACTGGAATATGAAGATCAAGACGAAAGTACAGGCGAGCATGGCGCGAAGACAGGAGCGCCTATTCCCGCAGCGACGGGAGTTAGCGGTGCGACGGCAGCTCCGCGAAGTGTAAACCAGAAACGAGGAGCAGTGGAAAATCCGAGAGGGACGCGCCACGCGGGTGACGGACTGGTGGAGACACGACAGAGACGACGGAGGAACCGGGCAGGGCAGTACGACCTCGAGTACGAGCTCCGGGGAATTGTTGGTGGACGGCACGAACACGAACGAAAGTGGGTCTCAGCATACGAATACGAACGTCTCTATCAAGACGGTAGGGTCGTGGAAAACCCTACAGTTGGGAAGTCGTGTAACAAGTATGATACGGATGTGGACGGTAAGGCGGTTACGTATTGTGATACGGGCGAGTTCGGTGACGCGACCGAGTATGACGGCTCGTTCACGGCGAATGATGCCGACGTGAACGATGATGCGGACGTGTACGATGGAGCGGACGTGACGAGTACGGTGACTCGTTTGACGAGCACGATAGGATGGGTGGAAGACGAAACGGTGGTCAGGCAGAGCGCAGAAGCTGCCAGGAACGGACGGTACTGACGAAGTGTGGCATCTGGCTGCTGACGGTATTGAAGGACGGTAGGTACGTGCCTCCCGTATCCGAATTCGAAAGATACGGCGAGCACCCGGACGAGAGAAGGCGGTAGTTTTAGATTAGAATTAGCGGTGTAGGCATCACTCGGAGATTAGTGGTGTCGGCATCTTTGAGATTGGACGGTTTGCTGCTCGAGCTCAGTGGAGCGAGTGGTAGTGCACAAACGGACGGATGGACGAACGGACGAACGGGTAGCGCCTCGGTGGACGAGAACCAAGGACAGTCGACGAGGAGTACAGACAGGGGGAACGCTCCCAAGTCTGCTGACGGTTGCGTAGGGCGGCGTCTGAAGTGCGTGCCGAGCCCAAGTGACTAAGTGGGCGACGCTGGAAACTTACTGAACTGCGGCGGGTCTGAGTACATTTCGTAGAGGACGCTATCTGTATTTGGGCTGTAAACGAACAGTAATAAAGTAGGTGTGCGATCAGTGGATCACACGCCGGCGCGGTGAACAGAGTTGTTCATCGTCGGCCATTTGGATCTTGGGCGCCATCAGCACTGGGCGACCAACCCCGGCGTGCAGGGGAGTCAAAGACACGTTACACTATATTGGCTAACCGATAATTACGTCAATGTTTATGCTAAAAGTAAGCTGGAAAGTAATGTTGTCTCGTTTAAAAGTGCGGGTAGAGACTATTGCCACAATACGCAGCTAGGATTTGCAGTCGAGTTGTGGGATATTGTGGTACTTTCGCACAGCCGTCCACAAGCTCCCACAAGATGTTGCACCATATTGCCACAGTTTATACACCCCAACAAGCGCTTTGTACTACCGCAGACGAAGCACGTCTAAAGTATTTTAATCGTTACTTTGTGTGACAGTACTCTCTTTAGTGGTTATCTTTAATAAAACAACGAGGTCTTCTGTATAATCGACAAAGATGTATTTAAAAAAATGACAGCTGAACACTCTTATCTTCTACCCGTGCATAACCTTGAGAGGATATCTGAATCTGAGCACACCTGAGTTTTCTCCTGATTTGTTTTCATTATTTGAAACTGACGCTGCCCTAACGTGCGTGCTAGCCTACCTGGTGCATTTATAGTCGACCAAGCAAACGAAAACGGAGACATGGTCGAAGACATCGTTGGACGCCAATTAGACATGGCCCTCGTTCGCTCGTCGTCACCTCGTATACGGCCATGCTCCTATTACAACCCACCGCAACCACGGGTAGTGGTGCGATGTTTCCTAGGACACGAAGCTTACGGCTTAGTAAGGGAGCTCGGTACCGCGGCGACGGGCGTCGTACTGCGCTCGAAATTCCTCGTGGTGGCTTGCCAGATGCAAGACGACGTTGTAGTGACCCGTGACTGGCAGCGGTTTGCGATCAGCGTCGCACAGCCTGCACCGATGAAGCGCGTTGCCTTGAGCTTCGAAGAAGAGCGCGAGATGCCTTTGCTTGCTACCATTGCTGAAAATCGGAGAATGACACCCTGACTTCACTTAATATGAAGCTTGTGGAACTCCTACAGCCGCGCAGAGCCACTCAGCACAGTCAAGACCTCATATGGACGTCTAACCGCTACTGCGGCTTGTCTGAACCGGCAAAATATGAACCGCTTTGAGCCGGATGCTAGAATCGTTGTGTATTGCAATTATTTGTACAATATATTATTTACTTGTTTTTTATAATAACTCAGTAAGTCATATTGTTATTTAAAAATAGATTTATTTTGATTCCAGTTTTTTCGAGGTCTGGTATATCCTTATGATGATGGTATTGTCCCGGCCAGGACGGAAAAAGGTAATATATTAAATCCATTTTTAAGTATTTATATCTCAGCAACCAACTGCCTGATTTAGCTGCGGCTGCCCTTAAAAGCAAGTACAATGTCTTATTATTTATAGTTAAGAGTCTAGCCTAGCCGAAAGGTTGCCTATACGACAAATACCGGCCGGTAAGAAATTATCCGCAGCCGAAAAATTCTTGGTGGCAAAGACCTACGAATACATACTCGCTAAAAAACGTCGCTGCACCGAAGCTGTGGAAGGAAGAAGTACGCAAACATGTTAATGAATGTCTGAACTTCGCGCCAAGTAATATTTCGGCGATATGGGGCCACTGGGAGAAGAATCACGACCCCACCTTTGCCTCGGTAAGGTCTTTTAAACGAAATTGCAGTTATGTATAAAACTTAACATTTTACTGGTCGTATTTCAAATCATGCCAGACTATAGGGCCAACACCGGCTGGTAAGAGCCGTAAGCATGGGGAAAGCCTGCATCCTTTGGTACGTAAGCTCGTTTCTGACATGAATAAAAGCGGTAGGCCTGTTGCAGCTCCAAAACTGGCTAAGCGGCTTTTTGAAGAACTTAAAATTTCAATTTCTGTGCGGTCTTTGCGGCGGGTGCTCCGTCGATTAGGAATGAGGCTCATTAAGGGTTTAGCTGAATTGACAGCTAATGTTGCTTTTCGCGCACAATATTAGAAAGCTAAAAGTCGCCAATTTGAATAGGCGGAGCTTTCCTACTTGTCCAGAAGTGTTTCTGGCCGAATCCTTCTGCAACTTGAACCATGTCGCTCAGCTTTCATGGGTCGATGAAGATAAATCCGATAATCAAAAAGCGGTAGAGGCCCAAGGTGCAATATTATCCTTTTTATTGCTTTTGTACTAATAATTTGTCTGTTTTTAACCTTTTTTGTTATTGTTTCGTCACGAACAGGTTTTGCATTGTTGCCGTCGGCATTGTTCGTCGCGAAAAAAAAGGAATGGTTACACAACTGATAGAAGAATCGTGAGAAGTGTGCCATTTCAACCTAAAACGAAAACATGATGACGACTACCACGGAAATGCAATTTGAGAGATGCTTTGAGGACCTATGTGCACATTTAGCCAACAAATACGGTCCTTGCAACATACACATGGATGACGCGAGCTATCACAAGAACCAAACAAACTCGGCCCCCAGCTCGAGAGCTCTCAAAAACGATATCCAAGCATGGCTTGAAGAAAAGGGTGTGATTTTATCTTTCATGCTGATTTATTTAAGAGGTTTAATTTTTTTTATTAAATTAGAGATTTGGTACGACGTCAGCTACACTAAAGCTGAGCTGATGATGCTTGTTCGTGCCAACAAGCCTAAACCAATCTACAGGGCTACAGAAATTGCTACTTCACGTAACCATTTGGTATATTATACTCCGCCATACCACCCCGAACTACAGCCCATTGAGCTTATTTGGGCTAACATAAAGGGTGGCATCGCGGACGACCCTGCTTCCGATATGGCGGAGCTTCGTTCGAAGATCGACGCTGGATTTGCATCTCTAGTCTCAGATACCTGGACAGATGCATATCAGCACGCTCAAGACTACAAGCAAAAGCACCTGCAGTTGGCGGACGAGTGTGAACTCGTATCCGATTCAAAAGAAAGTGAGCATGAAAGCTGTGAGGGCTCCGATGTCAGTGACTGACCCATTGGCAGGTCTATACCTAAAAAAACGTGCCATTCAAAAGTTTTTCAAACAAATATATCAGTTTCTTAGCAATCATGATAAAAGACTAGATTATCATTATATGCAAAATAAGTGTGAATTTCGATCTGCTATCAAAGATTAGCCAATTGAGAAGCTCAAATCATTGTACATGGCAGGCTTTCAATTGAAAAAAAATCTGCAACAATAATGGGGGCTTTCAAACGTCAGAATGAAGGGAAAGGGTTTCGAAATGGCAAAAACGGACTTTAGATTCGGACTCAGAGCCCATTTTTCCCCTTATATCGAAATGTTGACATAGGTTTCGTAAAAGAAAATAACATTTTTTTTGGGTGCAAAGTCCGTCCGAGGTTTGGTGGCCGGAACAATACAGTATGTCAAGCTGCCGTGATGGCGACCGTCTATCCGTCCACTCGATTGCGCAATATCAAAATACTAGCCCCAACAAGAAACATTTAAGGACAGAAAAGAGGAACAAAAGTTGATGACCCGGCTTGGCCTCAGTTTTGATAGATGCTTCTGTGAAGGCATATAAAAGATATCCTTGTATTAGGTCTCTACAATCATACTGCAGCTCTGCAGCTCTTCATTAAAACTACGCGTTAGGGGTGGTAGCGCTGGTTGATGCTGGTTCTGGGGCCGGTTTATCGCGGTTAGGGGAATATTGTGTCTGGCTCTCGCAGCTTCTCATTCTATCGCTCGTAGCCCGACGAACTGCGATGGACTCAGAAAGCAGTGAAAGCTTGCTCAGCGGAGATCCCGGCACTGAGCGCTCGCGAGGATACCGTAGTAGGCAACACGCTGGGCCAAGCCACCGAAAGCAGCACCGGCGCTACAGCCAGCAGTGATACCGGCGCAGCTGGTGGGATTGATGACGCACCGAATGCAGCCAAGTCTGGTCCTAGAAAGAGTGAAAAGAAGGCAAAGAGGGCGGTACGTGTGATGGCCACGAAGGTGAATGGAGAGCTAGTGTAGTGGTGACGTAGGGTTCGTCACGGGGGGATTGTTCTCCATGTGTCGATCGCTTCTAAGAGTAGGAGCCATTAAAATGCAAATACACTTAAATGTCAACTTTAGGAAACTAA